AGACCGAGAATCTTTTTTAAATAAATAAATGGTATTCGATTTTTAAAACCAAGGAGTTTTCAATTAAAAAGATTTTAATATGACAGGAACAGTGGAAATATTCCATTCCCGATACTTTTAGTGCAGCCCACGTACGGATTTAATATTTAATCTATGGTGAAAATTCGTAATTAATCCAATCAGTTTTGTTTATTAGGACTTGGATAACTCTAAAGTTAAGAAATCGAGTCACAACATTATGCGGTGACGTATCGTAAACAATGACACCTGTTTTAATTAGTACTGTGCCTTGTAGTATACAGCCAAAGACTTTACATCCTATATTAACAGGTAAATAATTACAGCTATTTTTAAAGGAAAACTTACTTTCGATAATTTTATGAACAAGATAACATGAAATGTACATACATACAGGCATATTAGTTTAGTTAATGCTCTACTAATAATAATACTGATGTTTCGGTCATCAAAAGTAATTTACAATTTACAAAATTTTTGGTTCTGGTCTGGTTCTGGTCCAGTGGGGTATTCCGGAAAACCAGCGGCACCGTCTGTGGGCCCTGTCGGGCTACCGCACCGAGACGGCCGACGTAGAGTCGTTGACTATAGCCTCGACAACCCATCGGTCGGGCGTCCTAGGGGAAGCTGCGAGTCTGGTTGTAGTGTTGACCGTGGGAGCCCCCCTATTCTGACTGGGTTTTGACCTCGGGTGGAAATAGGATGTCGGGTGAGAGAGTGTAAGGGGAGTCGTTTGATGGGTAGGGCCCTTACACATCCTTGTACCCGCGGTCTGCTCTGAACATCTTTACGTCTTTTAAGTCCCACATACTAAGCGCACTCCCTAGGCGCGGAAGCCTCGCATGAGGTACGGCACCCTGCCCGAAAAAAAAATGGTGGTGGTACCTACTCGCGCGGACTCACAAGACACAAGACGTCCTACCAGCGGTAAATTAACAAAATCTTCTATTCTATTACATAAAAGCGATTTTAAATCGATTTATATTAATCGATTAATAACAACAGTAATAATAAAAAAATCGAAAGAGCCAGATAAGCTAACGACTTGCGTGATCAGTGTCCGTAACGAATTTATAGCTTAGGTAATATTCATTCTTATGTGGACCATTTCATACTAAAATCTTGTTTTATGTTCCTACTGTCCTTGTTTTATATTCCTACGGCCCTAACTAATATATGAAATGAAACAAGCAAATTGGTCATCTTATGGAAAATTCAAATAATCTCGAGTCGTGGTACGGCGTAATGGCAATTCCGTAGTCTTGCCGTTCATTGTCTAAGAACTATTTCATAGAGGACGCCTTTTAGATTGTGACGTCCATGATTTATGGTAAACGTTTTAGATGTGATCAATTATACGAATATTGCATAGATAAACATTTCGTCTTTTCGAATTAAAAGTGCACAATTTCCAAAAATATTCGAAATTGAGTTAATATGCGGAATCTTTTGGTATCACCAGTATTTTTCTCATAAATACTATCAAAAGAGCGTAGTTTAGTTTTAGTTTTTTTTTTGTTTGTTAACCTATGTTTTGACTAGGTACTACATATTAACAAAATTAATATATAATTTTATCTTACTTTAAAAGACAGATAATGTAACTGGTAAAAAATAAAAAGTAAATGTTGCAAAGATGATTAATATTAAAAATATCACTTTTTAAACCTTTAAAACACTCTCCTGTAAAATTAGTAAGTTTTGAGATTATACAGTTTTAATGCGAGAATACGATTTCGCACGAGAAGTAAATTTTAATCTCATTTAAGTGTTCTTGATATTTTCCAATTAATTAGTCGAATAATATCTATGACGTTGCTCGTTCAGTACTCATTAAAAATACATCATTATTTGTAATGGAAAACGGTAATCGATTTTATTTTTAAATATTGTACAGAAGTGTATAATTACATTAAAACATCTAAATGATATGCACAGAACAAAACTTTGATTTTAAGTCTTCATTTCAAAAAAATCCAAATCGTGACCAACGCGATCTCTATGACGTAAAAAGCATAGAACACAAGAATACTTGAAATAAACATCCAAAGCTATTCGTTCATAAATATACATTTGATAAATCTAAATCTACAACGCATAGTTACGAGTATAAATAAAATACTCGTTCTAAAAATATTATCCATAAATCTTTGAAACCTATTATTACACATTGATGGTTCGATGTAGTAGTATTGATAATAATATGTCGGGTTATTGACCTTCTCAATCCACCTACGATACGTGTAGTTAATAATGTACGCTTGTTCGTGTCACCTGTTTAACCATAATGAAGTTTGTTTTGGTAACATGCAATGGAAATATTGTTACCGGATTTAATGTTAGAGTCATTCAACTTACCCATTCATCTTTCGTTCGTGATTGCTATGAATTTGAATTTTCTGAAATTTATTACAATCCGTACATTTTAGTTTATCTATCTATAGAAGTGTATATAAAAATAAATTGCTGTTCGTTAGTCTCGCTAAAACTCGAGAACGGCTGGACCGATTCGGCTAAATTTGATCTTGAATTATTTGTGGAAGTCCAGAGAAGGTTTAAAAGGTAGATAAGTATGAAAATGCTTGGAATTAAATAAAAATAACAATTTTGTTTTTCCTTAGAGGTGTCCCCCCCGTCGGACGGATTCCCTTTGTTTGTTTTAAGTTAATTTTATACAAAAGTTTAGGTCTTTTATTTATCGATTGAGGGAGTACGAAGTCTGCCGGGTCAGCTAGTTATATTTATAATAAAAAAAATATTGAAATAGCTCAATGAATTTGGGAATCGCGTGATTGATATTCATAAAATATACCACGGAGGTTTCGTAGTCAGTGTAAGCGTTCTTGTAATCAAAAGTTGATCAAGTCTTAAAAAAGAAATCTCAATCAATATTTTGTCGACGTTACTGGGGATTTACAAATTAAATTTTATTTTCTTAATTATTCGTCAAACTGCTGACTTAGTTGAAACTCTGTACAGCTCTGCACAACTGACGTTAGAGAATGAACGGATGGCCTGCTGAAAACTGACATTGTCACTGTCAATTTGACACATTAAATTTGAGTAATTTACGGTTGTCGCACCCGGGGTCGCTCACTTCGGCTTGCGTTAGTAGTTTATACGTTCTGCATCGAAGGGTATAAAACTGTTATTCGAATACAATCGAGTCTTAACCTTTTTTTTTTCCGGGCCGGGGGCCGAACCTCCTACGAGGTTCCTGCGCCTAGGGGGCGCGCGGGGTATGTGAGACTCAACGATCTGCAGGTGTTGAGAGCAGACCGCGGGCCCAAGGAATTTTAGGGCCCACCCACTAAACGACTCCCCTGCACTCTTACACCCGACGTCCGATCTCCGTCCGGGGTCAAAACCCGGTCAGAGTAGGGGGGTTCCCGCGGTCAACACTACAACCAGACACGCGGCGCCACCCCGAGGACGCCCGACCGACGGGTTGTCGAGGCGATAGTCGACGACCAACGACGTCGGTCTCCGCGGTACGGCGGCCCTACCAGGCCGCCCGGGCGATACCGCTGGTGTTCCGGGATACCCCGCTGGGCCAGAACTAGCCTGCCGGATCTGAACGCGATACACCGCCGGCCGGGTTGCTCTTCCACAGTATGTTCGGCGACGACAGCGACGACGAAAATGCGGACCGCATCGCAGTCCGCAGTCGCCGACGTGCTGTCCCATCCTCCTAGAGTGACGGTAGCGTGCGGCGCAGCTTCAATCCCCTTAGGTCGCCCCGTGACCATCACCGGGAGGAGACTGCCTCCTCATAGGGGCCGGAGTTGGACAAACGCCCTCCTCCGACCCCCGGCTCGGCGGTGGCGGCACGGCGCCGAGAGGGAAGAAGAGCTCTGCCTGTCCCGTTCCGCCGCCTCCTTCTGCGAGATGGTGGACTCGCAGAAGTCGAGAATCGAGTCTTAACCATGTCTTAACCTTAAATATTAAGTGTATCATCCATGGTCTTAACCGCATCTTTCGTGGGCAAGGTGACTTTTTGGCGGGTACGCGAGGAGTGAAGTTGTGTAATTTATTTTATTTTGTCTATTTAGTGTTTCTTCAAGTTTAAATGTGAAATAATGGTGGTTTATATACTATTTAATATCTGTGAAAGAGCACAAATGTGGGAAAATGAAACAAAGCCGCTGGACATAATTTCTCGGGATCCTCCAAAAAGTCCACTGAAAAAATCTCAGTAAATGACCACCATTTTACTGAGATTATATTTCATCCCATATCATCTCATTTAATTTAATTTAATCCCAGTTGATTAATGTCTCAAATTAATCAGGTCAAATTAATAGTTACCAGGTCATAAAATCACTTAAATATATATATATATATATATATATATGTTTCGTGGGCGAGGCATCACATGTTGATGTCCATAGGTTCCGGATATACTCGTCGGAATTCAGCAAAAATGACACAAAAAATAATGTTATTAAAATTACTTTTGCTAATAATGTCTTCATAAAAATATATCATCTAAATCGACGTACAAAATTGTTCCAGCCGTATTTTAGGTCAGTGAACTTCGACCTGTCTCTATCGAGCCAATTAGATCTGTTGTTGCTCAGCACTTTCCCGCTACTTCCTGGGAAATTCTCACCGCTGATTTAGACCTTAGCAGCTAACTGATTGCCAGCGTTTGTATTTGTGATTGGAAACCTCGTTTCGTGGTATCCTAAATCTAATCAAGAGAAATAGACTAACATCTAGGTTGAATAAAGCCAAATTGGATACTAATGGATGAACTAATTAAAAGTTTTATTCGGTAGCCATATAGTTCGGGTTAGTGAAAAGCTATTTCAAGTTAGCATCGGGAATTGTATAATACAATATCGATTGTTTTTTTAACATGTAAATGTGTGTTACAAGTGGATCAAACGATAAATATATTTATTTAAAAAAATACTACATTATTTTATCCAGTACTAGCTTATTGTTAATTAATTTACATAATTGTAAAACAGACTTACCTAAGTAATTCAAAATATTCTGTTTTAGTCGTTTAGAAACTATGTACGTAAAGTATTTTAAAGTTACAAAAAAGGCAAACTTATTTTTGAACACAATGCCCAAAATCTACGGTAAAAAACGTTTTCACTGCTATTATCTTTGCACTGTTATAAACGGTTATTTTGTTAAATTTAAATTCGAAAATAGAATAATATATCGAATGCGCGAGCGCACAATGTCTCGGTCGATCGCCGGTCGGCTTGTGAGGATCAGTGCTGGTTACGTCATAGAACAAGGCCGGTGAGCCTCGCAAGTCGACGATCCAACCTACTAACTTTAGTACTGTGTTGCTATATAAACGAAATAGTTTGCTCGATTTATTCCGACATAATTAATGTAAACATAATTTTTAATGGAAGATTTTAAAGAAAGAAAAGTTAGAGCTTTATGTAAAATAAAAGTGGTATCAACAAATTTGGGTACAGAAATTGTTTCCTAAAAATAATGCAGTATTGCCAATGAAACCTAAATTAAGTATGAGTGACTATTAAATAAATAATTGTGAAAAGTCGTGGTAAAAATTATAGCTTACTGATAATATAAGGAACATTTGTAAAGATATCATGTTGTTGTCATGTCGTCTTCTGTTTCATTATGTATTTCTGGGCAGGGAAATAAATTTTATTAAACTGACTTTCATGTAAATTTTTATTCTGGTAACACTAAGCGACTGATGGGGGAATCGTATCACCAAGGTCACCAATAAAATGGCACAAGAAAACACTAAAAAATGTTATGTCGTTGTTTTGTTGTCGGCTGCTAAGCCTGAATGTAACCATCATTATTTTATAAAACTAAAAAAAGATAATACTAAAATTGATTTAACAAAACCTAGTTACTATTTCTCGGATATCCGCTAAAAAAGTATGTAACGCTAGTAGGTACTTTTTCATTAGCGCTTACTGTCTAAGCAGTGGGTGGTCTTGAAAGTAACTGCCTTTGTATATCATAAACAATGTCACAACCTAAATATTCTTTGACTGGTTTTTATTTATTGATTTACGTCAGTGATGAAACCGCATTGTTATTCGGTGATAAAGTCATGACCCATTTGAAGGCGGCTTTAAAGGCCTATTTTATGCAATACAAATTTGATAGTGACTTCGGTCTTAGCCTTCACACCTGACAAATACTTATTAAGTAGTACCTTATGGATGGCAATTAGTCGTTTTGCTGCGAGGCGCTTGTTTGTTACGGTTTGATGAATGGGACAGCCCTTGCACAATACAAGTTAAGGCTTCGGTCTCATGGTGGGTAGTAGCATTAACATTATGATGGTATGTTTTTCATTAGTAGAAAATAGTTAAAAGAGTTCAAGACCTCTGTGGCAGTCATTGGAACTTACACACGACTCTTCATTTTTAGACTTTCATTTCTCTCTCTCTCTCTCACACACACACACCCACACACACACATACACATTCTCTCTCTCTCTCTTTTTGAAGATATTGCCGCCTTTTTACCGCATTCTAAATTAGCTTAACTTCGAAATTTAAGTATGGAAGCATTCACGTATGTGCTCACGGGAGTGCTCTGAGGAATTGTTCGAGATGATACCGGCATCTCGTTTTTACCATCGCGCCGCCCGCCACCTGAGTAGAGTTACTGCGGTACTACTACCTGGAGCCACTGCGGTCATCCACAGTGCGTTTCCAGAGGTCTTTTTTGCCACGTACCATCCGGCTATGGAATGAGCTCCCCTCCACGGTGTTTCCCGAGCGCTATGACCTGTCCTTCTTCAAACGAGGCTTGTGGAGAGTATTAAGCGGTAGGCAGCGTCTTGACTCTGCCCCTGGCATTGCTGAAGTCCATGGGCGACGGTAACCACTCACCATCAGGTGGGTCGTATGATTGTCTGCCTACAAAGGCAATAAAAAAAAAAACGTATCTTATTAGAAACACCGCTTAAATAGTATGTATAGTGATAAACAAGTACCTAAGTTTGAACACTAATGTTGCGGGTTATTTACTGCTATGACGTATAAATACAATAAGGGCGATAATGTCGCAGTATTGCGGCGTCCCGTCGCGTTATGAAACGCCGAGAGCGAAATAAATTATTGTAATTCTCGTGTAACATTTATCAGGGTATTATGAAAATGTTCGAAATAGTGTATTAGAATTGAATTAAAATTATAGGACATTTTTAAGTAAGCCTGGAGGATTAAAGCTTTGTTTATAATTAGAATAATGTTTTTTTACATTAAAATTTATTTATTATTCACAAATATTTTGTGTATTGTTCACTACTAATTATGATTGTTGTCCCACAAAGCCGTCAAGTTGGCTTGGTTCAAATTATTGATTTTCTTGTAGTAATATTCTATTACTACTAATTTTCTTCATTTATTAGAGTCCTATCATAATTATCGCTATTGTAATTACGGAGGCTAGGGAGCTGTGGATACAGGCCAGAATTCCTGTACTCAAATTGTGGTTTGGTTGGTTCCTGTACTCAACGTGACCAAAAACGATTGATGTATCATCATCTTGTGACGTCACAAGCTACAGAGCAGATTTGCTTTTGGTATTCATATCCCAAAATAAAAATGCGTACATTTTGTAGTTTTGTTTTGATATTTATACATATTTTTGATGTGCCATCTATACTAATTTTTTTTATTTTTTTTATTGCCTTTGTAGGCAGACGGACATACGGCCCACCTGATGGTGAGTGGTTACCGTCGCCCATGGACTTCAGCAATGCCAGGGGCAGAGCCAAGCCGCTGCCTACCGGCATATTATAAAGAGGAAAGATTTGTTTGTTTGTTTGTATTGAATAGGCACCGAAATTACTGAACCGAATTGAAAAAGTCTTTCACTGTTTGGAAGCTACACTATTCCCGAGTGGCATAGGCTATAATAATCTTTTTTGAAAAAAATGAGGGATCCTTACTAAAACTCCAATAATGTATTATAAGGTAAAAAAATTACCTAAAATATTCTTTACATCGCGTGCCCTGCGAAAACTATTCATGATAGAATAAAATGATGTACTACGACTTTGTAGAAGACATTATTATTTACAAAAAGTCTCGCAACAGCATATGTCTAACTATTATAGTTATGCCGCAATAAGTGTTCTAGTCTTTAATAAATCTGATATACATATTTATTTTCCGAGAAAGAAGGGATGTTTTTTATTAGCTTATTATCATCGTATCTCATCAGATATTCACTTGGATCACGAAGCCTCCATACTTTACAACTTATCTAAAGATATTCCACACGCATATGTCAACTTTTGTCACGCCTGTGTATTGTTGTTTAATTACGCAATTTTGTACTCATACTTATTATGTTCTTGGTATTTGACTAAGTAACCCTGAAGATGTACTTGAATTTTTAATGATTCCGTTATAAAGTATTTACAACACAATTTTTACTTCTTATTTATTTATAACTAGCTGACCTGGCAGACTTCGTAGTGCCTCAATCGATAAATAAAAGACCTAAATTTCCGTATAAAATAAACTTAAAACAAACAAACGGAATCCGTCCAACGGGGGACACATCAAAGGGAAAACAAAATTGTTATTTTTATTTAATTCCGAGCATTTTCATATTTATCTACCTTTTAAACCTTCTCTGGACTTTCACAAATAATTCAAGACCAAAATTTGCCAAATCGATCCAGCCGTTCTCGAGTTTTATCGAGACTAACGAACAGCAATTCATTTATATATAACTAGTCAGGTCATAAGTATTGTCACTCAGTAAAAACTTTTCTTTTAGAATGCTGGCCACAAAAAAGTTTATTAAATTCGAATTTCGAATTGTTCATGAAAATAAAAATGTATACTTTTAGAATTTTACTCATTTTTAAATATGGAGTGGACGCTTAAAGAAGACCGTGTTGCAGTTATTGCGTTGCATCGTTGCGGTTACGCGCCAATTCAAATTTTTAACATACTGAAANTATACAGTCAAACCTGGATAAGCGAGAGTTCAAGGGAGCACAATCTCATTCTCGCTTATAGAGGTTTCTCACTAACCCGAGTTTCTCGCTAATGCACCCTCTGAATTACATTGCGCGATTTTCCGGATTCAAACGCATTCACTATCTTAAGTTTATCACTTAATGACAGTACTTTAATTTTCCGTTTTGTCATGATGCAGAACAGAACTTTCCTTCGCAATTGATTTACGATAATCTGAGTAAGTCCGACAAACAGGACGGTACACAGGCCCACGTGTCCATTCGAAAAGAATACTATAAAATAACAACGTTATTTCGTACCACGAAATAGAATAGGTTCAATATTGACGAGAAAACAATATAAAAACAATGGTAGGAAGTTCCACGAAAGTTAAGAACGAGTCATAAAATATCAGATGTTAAATTTATAATTTGTTTTGTCATTTGTTCCTCCTAAATTAATAAAGCTCGACTGTCGCTTATAGAGGTATAGATAAGTAGCAGTCTCACTTACGGAGGTCCATGAGGGAAACCCGACTCTCTCTTACAGAGGTTTCTGTTTCTCGCTAATAGAGGTTTTGGGAGCTTAAAATGACGGGTCCTGGCTATTACTCTCACTTATAGAGTTTTCTCACTTATCCAGTTCTCACTTATCCAGGTTTGACTGTATTGAGTGAAGAACATGCCTTGAAAAATAATAGCAAATGTAATATTATAAACAAAGAATAGTAATTTTAATAATAATTTACATTATTCAGCTGTTCTTGCAATTCACATGGTGCAAAATGGAAGAAAAATAATAATACATTTTCCGTTTACTTCAGCTATGTGTGCAATATATCTATGGACCAAGTTTAAAGTAGTTCAGTATTTGTTTTTAAACAGATTGTTGTTGTTGAAAGTGAAATTGTGTCAAAGTGAAATAACTGTTGCGTGTTGAATGTAGGACATGATTAAATACCTAAGTAGGGAGTAAGCTAGTACTATCTAGCTAGTATATCTCTCAATTCTTTGATATAGTAATTATGCAAATCAAAATCTTTTTTCGGTACCTGGCATGTAGGATATTAACAGGAGCATTGTCGCATAGCTCGATACCAGGTAACTTCTGTGTAAGGCCATGACTAGAATAATTGAAATGATCTTACATTGTGTTTAAAATGAGGCAAATGTCTAACAAAAACTACATTCTTCAAAATAATCCCAAAGACCATCTGGAAGATTTTGATATTATTAAGTCATTTTTGGAAATAATATGTGATGTCCTTAATAAGATGTGATTTTGCATCAACAATGTGTATTATTATGTCATGAAATTTGTGTCCCAATACCTACTAATATATCGCCCTTTTTTATTCTAGAAATTGCATTCTCACCAAATAATAACGAAGTTCACATATACAAAAAGGAAGGAAATGACTGGAAGCAAACAAACAACCTTGTAGAACATGACCTTAGAGTGATGGGGATTGATTGGGCTCCCAACACCAACCGTATTGTTACGTGTTCTGTTGACCGTAATGCTTACGTCTGGACTCAAGGAGATGATGGGAAATGGGCAACTACCCTTGTTCTTCTGCGTATCAACCGAGCAGCGACTTGCGTGAAATGGTCTCCCATGGAGAACAAGTTTGCTGTCGGGTCAGGAGCTAGATTGATATCAATTTGCTATTTTGAGAAGGAAAATAATTGGTGGGTGTCTAAGCATATTAAGAAGCCCATTCGTTCGACTGTGACATCTATTGATTGGCATCCCAATAACATTTTGCTCGTCGCTGGCTCTGCTGACTTCAAAGTACGAGTTTTCTCTGCCTATATCAAGGATATCGAAGATCAGCCTGGACCGAATGTGTGGGGCTCTAAGTTGCCTTTAGGACAACTGTTAGCAGAGTTTCCCAATTCGCCTTCAGGTGGCGGTTGGGTCCACAGCGTTTCCTTCTCTGCGGACGGAAATAAAGTTGCCTGGGTCGCCCACGACAGCTCAATCAACGTAACCGATGCTANAGTACGAGTTTTCTCTGCCTATATCAAGGATATCGAAGATCAGCCTGGACCGAATGTGTGGGGCTCTAAGTTGCCTTTAGGACAACTGTTAGCAGAGTTTCCCAATTCGCCTTCAGGTGGCGGTTGGGTCCACAGCGTTTCCTTCTCTGCGGACGGAAATAAAGTTGCCTGGGTCGCCCACGACAGCTCAATCAACGTAACCGATGCTACTAAAGGAAGGGCTGTCATAAAACTAAAGACTGAATACCTGCCATTCTTGGGATGCAGTTGGATCACCAACAATTCCCTGATAGTAGCAGGCCACAGCTGCATTCCGTTATTGTACTGCCACGACGGTGACGATATTAAGTATGTCGCCAAACTCGACAACACTCAGAGGAAGGAGTCCGGGGGACTGTCTGCTATGAAGAAGTTCCAGTCCTTGGATCGTCATGCTCGTATCGAGACCAGCGATACATTCTTGGACTCGATACACCAGAACGCTATCTCGTGCATCAATATTTACAAAGGAACTAAATCCCACACTAACAAGTTCAGTACTTCAGGTCTCGACGGCCAGCTCGTCATATGGGACTTGGACACTTTGGAGAGGTCATTTGAAGGAATCAAGATTGTCTAAATAAAAACTGTATACGTTATTTTATTTATTTATTTATGCAATTAATAATCAGTTTGAAACGAGTTCCGAAGTCACTCAACAAATATATAAATGGAGAAAGCGGTGAATATATCGCGATCACAGTCTCATCAGTCTAGCGTAAAAATAAATCAAAGCAATCCAGAGTGAATTCAGCTCGTAAAAATTTAAAACTTTCAAATATACAGAACAAACAATAAATTATAGATACAACTTGTTTTATTATTATACATTTTTTTTATACTTTTGACAAATCAAACAGTTAATATATTTTGTAAATTAAAGAATAAGATTACTACAATACGCCCTATAATTACAATAGATCACTTTTAATACTACTGAAGTACGTTTTGCTGTCAATATAACATTAAATTTTATTGAAATAACGAAATGTATTGTTTTAATTAACTACATAATAATAATAATAACATCAAGTCATACTTTATTACACTAAACTATAAGGCCATCTTGTCGAGTTAATTAGTAGCGCTCATTGTGTGGGGATGATTCTGAAGACCGGTCCGATCCTAATGAATACTCTGCGGAGAACCGAGCGCAGTTCGGGCTTCAAGTCGAAGCACGTGATCTCGCACAGCAGCGGGTAGTAGCTGGACACGTGCGCCGCGAACTGGAGACAGGACAAGCTTCGTATTAATAGACTTTTTTTTATTGCTTAGGTGGGTAGATGAGCTTACAGTCCACCTGTTGTTCAATACTGGAGCCTATAGACATCTACAACGTAAATGCCACCACTCACCTTGAGACATGAGTTTTGTTCTCAGTTTTTACAGTACAACGGCTGCTCCACCCTTCAAACCGAAACGCATTACTGCTTCACGGCAGAAATAGGCAAGGTGGTGGTGCCTACCCGTGCGGACTCACAAGAGGTCCTACCAGCAGTAATTGTGCGCATTTGTGTCGCTTGCACGATGAAGGAATGCGACAATTGAGTAACTACTGGCGGTAGGGCGTCATGTGACACAGGTAGCAGTCGTGCGTTCTGCTTTCAAGGGTGGGTCGTTATACTACACAATCGAGACATATCGTGTTTAAAAATGAACGGCGACTATTTTATTGTGATGGTTGTGGGCTCCAGTAATCACCTGACACCAAACGGGCCGGAACTGCCAGTGGTAATGAATTTAGGCCCCACCCCCAGGTGACGTCAAAGTGAGGGTATGATTACGTCGTAACATTTTGAAAGTTAAGTATAGGAAAGAGGCTCGTGCACACTGCTATAATAGTTAAGAGAGTAGTAGTTTCTTTAATAAAATAAACTCTATCAGACTTTTCATAGCTGTAAAAAATAATACCTAGCGCGACTCAATCGTTGCTACGAGATAGATCGTAAAAGCGACTGCCTTTAGCAATTAAAAATATAATTCCATTTTTTTAAGCCAATGGCGAATGAGAAATAAGCCTTAACATGATTAGGATTATGTTTTAAAATTATTTATGTTTCATAAGTCCGCTCGTGTTAGCAGTTCGTACAGCTGAATAGCTCGGCAACGTGTGTAATTAATAATGCAAACTAATAATGGTACGAAGTTTAATGTCAACAATATTGAATGCGCAGCTTTTGTTCCTCAATAAATAAAAGTTATCATTTACTTACTTTTAAGGTCGTTTTATCGTAGTTTTTAATAGTTATTTTTGATTGTTCAAAGACTGGCAAACATAAAATACTAATTAAGCTTATCGTGCACTAGAGCTCTAATCTTGATAAAATGGTTACGAATGTAATCCTTTCATTGTAGCGACAAGTAACAAATTGTCTTCGGTATTGAATCTTTAAGAGCAAGGAAGACTATTAAATTAAATGAAATAAAAGACTTACTCTTTCGTCCGGCATCTTAAGTATTCTAGTGAGGATCAACAACAGAATGGAAGTCCAAGCATCTCTGTGCGCTTCGCTCGTTACCCCTGCGAAGTACTCGAGAGCCTCGCAGCATATGGTGATGAGGCTCTTCTGTACCGCCGGCCAGTGATCTTGGCGTGACTCATCTCCGTACATCTTAAGCAGTATTCGCAGAACGCATGCTAACGACTGAGTCTCTTGTTTCAGCATGTTAGGTTTAACGGAACCTTTAAAATTAGCTTTCCAAAGGACATTACGTTGCGCGTTGTTGGTGTTGAAGGTTTTTGCAAATCGGTGACTGCACATCAGACACTCCACGAGGCGCAACAGATGTGGCGAGCTCAGCAGCCTGTACATGCCTTGCTCCTCCCGCTGGCATTCCTGCTCCGCCCCGGGGGCGTTACCAGTCAACTCGGCCGCGGCCAGAGCCAACGTTTCGGCGTCTTCTTTCCTCGACGTGGCGGGAAAGAAAACGATATTGTCTATTGTTTGAATTAATTCGAGTTGCACGACGCATTTGATCAACAAACTGTTGAAGACGCGATTGGAAGACTTTACCTCGTCACCTACTTGCGGCTTCTTCAGGATGCCGTGACGAACGTGAGGTGTTTCATTGTCGTCACTTTCATCCGGTTTCCAAGTCAACAAGGTTGTCGGTAAAGTACTGTTGAATATGTCTAACATTATCTGGCACGTCTTGCTCCAGGTATCTTCGTTGAACTTACTTCCGTTGGATATGACTAGATTTTCCAAGCAATTGGTGCCAGAGCGCGCTAGTTGTTCGTTGTCTTGCTGTACGCACCAATGTAACTGGGCGTACAATTGTTCAAGCAACAGAGAACCAAGAATGTCAAAATACTGCGTGAAAACATCTACGATTGCGTACAGCGCGTGGTTGCATGTTGTAGTCATCCATTCGTTTTTTTCCAATTGATGTTCAGGTAATTTCATATTGTCAAATATTCTGAAAAGTATATTAAAGAGATCTCTCCACCAATGAGGACGGAATGAATCGCCGTGAGTTTTAATAATTTCAAATAGGACTGTGAGTCCACGAGTGCGGACGTCGAGTTTGCAACGGCTGACGACGCATGACAACGAAAATAGAAGAGGAAACCAACCCCTTAGCCACACTCTATCTTCTTCCGGAGCGCCAGGTTCGCCCTCTAGTCCCGCGTGTTCTGCAAAGAGCTGCGGCGATGTACCAACCGCTGTAGCACAGGATCGCACGAGCCTTATAGCTTCCATAGATGTGTCTGGGAACTTTGCATTACAGGCAAATTCCGATAAACATTTTACAGCATCTTGAAACGAATCGATCATAGCTGAGAATTGTTTTTCATACAATTCAGATATAATTTTTCCGGTTGTCTGGAATGCCAGATCAACAATTGCTTCGTCCTGATCGCCTGCTGCTAAGTGAAACACGGAGAAAATATTCTTCCAGCCTGATTTGATATTAGGCGCTTGCGAGTTCACCATCTGAGCAATACATCTTACTACCATATCTCTTATAGTTGGTGAGCTATTTTTTTTCATTATGTGCTCAAAAGGTCTTAGAAAGTCTTTCTGAAACTTGAAATTGGCAAACTCTCCTTTCTCTATAAATTTCATGGATAATTGTCTTAAGGAATCCACAGCGAAAAATGCGATATCTTCGTTACTACTGCAACCGACTTTATTGAAATGGTCACCGAGAACTTGCCATATTCGAGACCACTGCAGTCTGATGCGGCCCATGTTGTAATAGGAAATTTCAACTATTTTTTGCAACGAAAACATGCGAGGGTTATTGGGGTGGCTCAGTTCATCAAGCGATACCTGACACAATGCTTTCACGAAATCGACAATTGCGTCACCATCGAGTCTGGTGGAACCGGTGAATATTCTGTCGACGGCGACTACTACACTCTGTGAGCTTGTTTCACCGATATGTTCTTTGACACTCGGGTCTAAAGCAATCAAGCTGAATTTCAAAGAATCGGGTTGTGGTTTTATACCGGAACCAGATAGGAATTGAGGCCGCACTCCAGTTCCTATGAGCTGAGCTAATTCTAATTGTGAAATGCATTTCACTACATCGAGCCAGCTCGAGCCCAAATAGTTGCCGTCGGTGTGAGCGACCGTTATCAGAGTTTTTATTGTGTCGATGTTTTTAGCCTTCATCTCTGTGATCGGAGAGTTAGCAGTGAGCAGCGTAAAACGTGCGAGAGCTTGTACGTATGCGTCTCTTTCTAGGCTCATATGGAATATACATGCGATCCTAATAGCACATCTAATGCCATCTAAGCATAATGCAGCGATTTCAGGGTCATCGCAATCTTGAAGGCCCACCGAGAAAGCCGCCAAGAATGGAGTCCAAGCCATTTTAAACATTGGACGAACGTGCTCGACGTGTTTCGCGGTGGTGAATGGAGTTTGAACGTGCGAAACAGATTCCATTAAATTCTTTGCGGCTGTTGAGATCTGTTCCATTTCCATGTTCCAAATGAATTTACGTTTCTTTTCGTTGGCGATCATGTGTTTCCCAGGCTTCGATGTGTTTTTCATTTTTATTTCGTGTCCGGCTATTTCGTCATAGATCTGCGATAAATATTCACGAGGTAAATCATTGTTATCACTTATGCCACTGTTCAGTTTAATGTATTGTTCCTTTGTCATCTTATTTTTAACTTGAGGCGAATGCAAATCGGTAGTTAGCATAATTATGGAAAATGCTAATACGTATACTGTGTCTGCACTCATAAATAGCGTATTTGTAGGATTACATTCGCAATAGCGTGACGCGAACTTCTCCATCAAGCGATCAATCTTCTGTGCTTCTCCGGGTAATCGGAACCCTTCTAAGAAATGTCTCAATGCGGCTACAATATCCATGTTGGTGAATTCCATTGAATCAACATATGAATACATAACTTCTTTGGAATGATCGTCATTTTCTCCTAAGTACTCGCCGATAAATGTTTTGTCTAGTCTTTCGTCCGTAAGGAGCCACTCGGCAATTTCTTTAGTAGAAGTGCCCAGTAAGCCTTGTTCTTGTAAAAATGCAACACCTTTTTTAGGTTTTCTATTGAAAAGATCGATCCCGGTCTCCCATACTTCTTTCTGTTGTTTCAATACTTCAAACTGTTCTGGCGAATCTAAAGTTTCTCTGTTTCCTATATTACTCGATCCTGTTGATACTAAGCTAAGGCTTGAACCTCCATGGGACTTAATACTATGATGATCTGTTTCTTCTTTAACAGTTCTTTCGCCTAATGTTGTCTGTAAGTTCGGATTTATATAAAGTTCTTTGCTCCATTCCACCATGCATTTTAGAATGGATACTAAACATTCAAGTCCTCTTATCCTCATGGACTTTTCTTGGTTTGGGGTTGCTCCCAGTTCCAGAGCCTGACGACCTTGAGCAATTTTCGAAACATCGTTTACTAGTCGTTGGAACAGGTTTGCCGCTGATAAATCACAGTCGTAATTTACGTAGATATCTACAACGCTTTGGGCATCACCACAGATCCTTGTCAAAGCCTGAATAACCATCCATTTATGTTCAAAAGACGAACTCGAAGTTTCCAAGATATTCATGAAAATTTCTTTGAAGAAGACTTCAACCTGCTTCTTTAAATGGACCTTGAAGTTTTGTAAAAGAGCAAGGAATATCGCAAGTGATAGTTCAAATACTTCGGGTACAGAACTAACTCCATTTTTAGATAACGCAACACATAGATATTGCTTGATAGCGGTGATAAACATCTCGTTATTTCTAAATACTGGACCGGCATTTTGTAATATAGAAAGTAGTAAATGGAGGGATAAAATTTTAGATCTTAATTCATGGGATTTAGGATCAGGAGTACCTTCTGGCAATGGCTTCATAGATAGTTTGCAAAGCGCTCTGAAAACCAAGAAAGCGTCTTTTTGAAGGACATGAGTGAACTTTGCTGTCACTGAATTGTCATTTTCAGATGCTACGTCAACGCTTTCTTGTGACGGTATTCGAGTAATTGATGGTTCGGAATTTACTTGACCATTTATTTCATGAGAAACACTAGAGCTGTCTTGAGAATCCGAAGGATTTTCATTATTGTCTGGAATGTTTTGCTCTTCAACTGTTTTCTTTATGGCAATGTCTATTGCATTGTCAATAACTGAATCGACTATTTGCTTAGCAATTATCTTTGCTTCCAATACTTCATCTATTTGTTCAGCCTGCGGTGAATCTGGTTCCTTAATCTCTTCGCTGGCTTGATTGTTTTGAGGTTCATCTGAGACAACAGTACCATTGGGCATTTTATGTATCTCGGATACAGTGCTAGGGCTGATATTTTCAGGTTCAAGGGCTTGATTTTCCATTTTCGTAAATATTACGTTCAGCATTTGGGTCAAGGTGGCTCTGGCTGTTGTCTGATTGATGAGATTTTTACTTGCTAAATAGATGTTGTAACAAGTACGGACTGCAAGAAGCACTGTACCTTCATGAACCTCGACATGTTGACTTGTGATAACAGTAAGAAGAGCTTTAATTATTTGAAGTTGAACCCCTTCATCAGTTTGAGGACCAGTGAAGCAACTGCAAATCGTTTCAACTATTCTGTCAATTAACAGTTTTCGAGGGGTTGTTGAATCAGGAATGTTTCCAGTGAGATGTCCATAGGCTATTAATTTTTGTAGACAGTCTAGGGCGGTAACAACAATTCTAGATGCTTTGCTCTGACATGCTAGCTCAAATGGTAGAAAGTATTTCTCTGCTGTGATGATGTTTGAAGAATCATTTTTGGGTAGCGGAAGAGTGCCTGAGGTTGGACTATCAGCAGTTTCTGATTGTCCACCGTTTTTTAGCTCAGTTTTGATTTCCTCTGAAAACAAATAATACAAAATAATTGAACACTCAATCCCTTATTAAGCATCAGAGAAATTTAAAATGCGTAAAATTTGATTATTAATTTTGACTTAAAATGTTGTCACATCAAACAGGTGAAGATGCAACTAATTCACCTTGAGACAAGGTTCTAAAAGTTGTCTATTGTATTGTATATAGCTGTAATGTACTATGTAATGTCACTAAATTGTATTGTATTGTACCCCTTTCAAGCCAAAATGGACAACTGTTTTGGGACATTAATTAATAAATGTTAATTGTTAATAAATAGATTTTAATTTATCAGGTAAGATAGGCAAACATGCTCATGGCAGAATATTAAATAGTCACTACATACATCTCCACTGGATGTAGAAATTGAAGTTTCAGTCAAATTATAAACTACAATCTCAAAGCACTAATGGTTCAATTGTTCAGTTTGTCCTTCTGTGCCACAGTTTCTTTTAGTAATCATTTAATCAGACTTAACTCAGCTACCTGACTATAAAGTATGCAGTTATTGAAAAATTTGATGATCACCCATTAGATATAGCATCCATTGTTGGGTAAACATAACGGGCGATAATTTCACAATATAGGTTCTCAATATTTAACTTGTAACAGAATTTCAAGGTCAGTAACATTCACAGTTAGCTCTTATTGAAACGTATTATCAATCGATATGTTTAATGCTTAACCTAATTAAAACAAGAGACACTACAATACGACGTTACAAATTAATATTACACTCTGAGTATAGTTACGCCACTTACCTAATGCGACTTCGCAAGATTTCTTCAACTGGCTGTGATAGGACCTTTTTATGTCCTTGTCAGCCAGTATCTTCTCTAAAGCTCTTACTATGAACATCTCTTTAGTTTTCAAATTGGTTTGCATCGTTATTTTATAAGGATATCACTCCATTCGTCCGTTTTTGGAGTCGACTTAGCTCCGCGGTTTTGATAAGGACATTTGTTTAATTTTACACGGGCACGGTTTTATCGTGATTGTTGTTACTAATTTGATTATTTGAATAGCACAAAAATAACATAACAAAACTTTAATATACTGTAGATTTTCTTAATTTCATTTCTAATATGCGATTCACAATAATTCACACCTCATCACAAACATGTCATGTCAATCGGAAGGATGTCAGCACAGACTAAGAAAGTAAGAAACGATACTAACTTCAGTCTTCAGTATTACGTTAATAGTGTGGTTTGTGCTATGACTCTGTATTTAATTTAAAATAATAACAAGTACAACTTGTTTAACAAATAAAGTATATATTTAAGCAGTGAGATAGAAAATTTGAAGATATATAAGTGTCGTCAAAATTTCTAGTTCATTAAGTGGTTGGAGAATAGAAGGATATATTTTATTTTACTTGACTCTAGGTTATACAACCATTAAATTGTTAAGTGCTTAGCAGAGTAAAATAGTACACGAATATTGTCATGCAGCTCGAGCACTAGAACTACAATGTCAAAATGATCTGAAGTGTATAATGGTCTAATAGATGCAAACCAGATAAATTTTTTTGAACTACCTTATCTGCCACTCCAGTCATTATATACAAAAGCCCACTGAAGTTTACGTTTATTCTGGCTTATCTACTCAGATTATTTTCGAAGATCAAAAATCACCCTAAAAGGGTTAAAAAGTCTAGTTGCTAGTATCTGTAATTAATTAAGAGATATGTCAACTGTCAAGTTCTATGCCAAATGTGACCGTAGAACGATTGAAATTCAATTCACCAATAAAAAATTTGGATTCCAAATAACTTACGACTGGAATATTCTCAAATAAATAATTCTATTATAGTTTTAATTAGTGTTTTTATACCCCATACAAGATTGCTTCCACAATGACTGTCACACGGGTGGCGGAGTCGCGCACCGAGTTCAAATTAAAAAGCTTACCCGAAGACGCTATTTCGAGCGTTAAATTTGCACCGAAATCTAACCAGTACTTGCTGGTATCTTCATGGGACTGTTCTGTGAGGCTTTATGATGTGACCGCGAATATAGAAAGACATAAATACAATCATGAACTGCCGGTTCTTGATGTTTGTTTTCGGGTAAAAAATTTTGAAATTCTTAGCCTAAATAAAAAACATCCAGTTTTTATCGAATTTTATCACTAAATTAAACTTATCTAACTTATTAAATTAATTTTATCACTAAATTATTAAATATTAATGTTAATATAGACACCTTTTTGTTGCTAATATTTGTAAGAAACAATGCTATCTACTAGGTGATCTTTTAGCTGTCTGGTGAAACTGGAAAGGCTTCCGGACCACCAGTCATACTTCTTTCCAAAAAAAGATGATTCTCTTTATCTATAATGTGAACAATTCTTCTAGAATCCAACAAAAATATTCTTTAAATCATTTTTCAGGATGCTGTTCATTCATATAGTGGTGGACTAGATCAGACTCTCAAAATGTATGATTTGAATGCTAGCACGGAGACTATCCTCGGAGAGCACAAAGGAGCTATACGCTGTGTAGAGTTCGCATCTGAACTTAATGCAGTGCTCACAGGAAGCTGGGATGGAACAGTCAAAATGTGGGATAGCAGAGTTCCAAACTGTGTCGGCACTTACAATCAGGGAAATGAACGGGTAATTTTGAAATCTCTCATATTACTAATGTTACATGGTTCTGCTGATGTTGGCAAATGAGTTAAGTCACACATAAGGAAGGTCACACGTTACAATTAGCCAATGCCATTTGTGGCAGTTGGCAGTAGGAGAAGTACATTTACTGTAGGGGCTGGAATCATATCTTAAGTTCCATGAACAAACTACAATCAAGTCTGAAACACATACATCAGCATAAATTGTCTACATACATATTTTTTATAATTTTATTTATGCTTAGATAGATCACAGAAGGCTGGGTATTAAGTGATAACTGAAACCTGTAGACATCAACAATGTAAATGCTGCCAGGAACTAGAGAGATGGGCTCTAGGTCTCAGCTATAAAGTACAGTAGCTTCAAACTGGAATGTAATGCTTTGTGACAGGAATATGTTAAGTGGACCTACCTTGTGGCTTCACATACCCTAACACCAGTAAGTATGCAAATGATCCTTCACTGTAGAATTCATTCATGAACATGTCTTAAGTATGTATTTCATTAGAAAAACCTGGATATTTACAGGAGGTAGAGAATTGCGTCGCTTGACATGATGCACCACGCCTTTATTCTTCAGGCATAGTATAGGCAGAAAGAAGGCAGTAGGTAAAGAAAGTAGGTGGCTGCACAAGGCCCAAATATGAAATCAAAGCAAAATTGCAAATTGGCAAAAATGTGCAAAATTGTTAAATTATGAGTATTTTTCAATTTTAACTTACATTATAAATGTGATGCGTATTGCGGTTGATGTCAGTGGCACAGCTAGTGCCTAATTATATGCATATGTATGTTATTCATCATAAGTTCTTCTAGGAAAGATTGGTTTTCCTTGCTAATAGAATAGCTCAAAAAGATTGTTTAAAGCCTGTATGACTAAACATAACCTTTATTTGCCTCAGCTAAATGTACTGTGGCAGATGAAAACACGATTTTGTGGAACACATGACCCACAGATTATTATCTTTACAGGTTTGGGGTTCCCTTTCGTCAAAGGAGGCTACTCCAAAATGTCTCTTTGTTCTTAATTTGTTGTTATAGTAAGATAACATTATGATGTATAAAATATAGAGGATATTTAGAAGAATATATAAATTTGTTTGCTGTAAGTCATGATTTTATAGATTTCAATTGAAATTAAATTGTTTTTTTTAGGTATACACAATGAGCATAGTTGGCGAAAAGTTCGTAGTTGGTACATCGGGACGTAAAATATTTGTATGGGACGTTCGTAACATGGGGCATGTAAATCAAAGGAGGGAATCCTCACTCAAATATCAAACACGATGCATACGAGTGTTTCCCAATAAGCAGGGCTACGTACTCAGCTCAATAGAGGGACGTGTGGCGGTGGAGTATTTGGACAGTAATCCTGAGGTGCAGAAGAAGAAATATGCTTTCAAATGCCATCGGATTAAAGAAGGAGGTATGTTCTTTGATGAATAGGAAATAATTGATACATAACTGTTACAACCTACTTGCTTAATCATATTGCGTGGTAGGATTGTACTGCTAATTGGACCCTAGGCCACTTGGACGTTGGTTGTTGAGCGACAGGAGGTTTTAGTCAGTTCGACTCTGACATGCTCCGCCCTCCATCCCCAGTGGAGGGCGGAAGTCCAGTGATTTCCTCCTGACCAAAAAAAAGGGCCCTTATCTTAGAGGAGCTAAGAATGTATGATACGATAGTAATTCAGCTTATAGTAAAAATAATACTCCTACTGAAGAGTATAATTATTCTTAATAGTNTTGGTTGTTGAGCGACAGGAGGTTTTAGTCAGTTCGACTCTGACATGCTCCGCCCTCCATCCCCAGTGGAGGGCGGAAGTCCAGTGATTTCCTCCTGACCAAAAAAAAGGGCCCTTATCTTAGAGGAGCTAAGAATGTATGATACGATAGTAATTCAGCTTATAGTAAAAATAATACTCCTACTGAAGAGTATAATTATTCTTAATAGTGAAAGATGGCATTTATATGCTCATTACTTTTTTACGGCACTATTCATGGATTGGTGCAGCCCACAGTATAACAATTATTTCCATGATGAACGTATAACATTATGTAATCCTGCAACTTTTCCAACCAATATTAATTACAGGTCAAAACCTGAAAAATAGGTCAGTTTTTGTTTTAAATTTTAATAAGATCACATTTGTACCGGTAGATGCAATCCAATGTTCTGCTTGTAAAAAAAATGTGTGGTGTCATGGGACAACGGATAGGAACGAAGTTCCTTATTATAAAAATATTAATTTAAAGTTCTATTCGAGGTATAAAGAAAATAAAACTGCAGGTTTTGCAACAACCCACGGTCATTCGGTAACGTGCGAACTTATTGTGGTACACTTCATTCACGGTTGTTTGCATAAGAGTTAGTGTATTGCGCAAACGAACGCTCTGAGATCGTGGTCAATGAATGATAAAAAAAATATGTTATTTTTTGTACGTTATTACAAAGTTAAGTCGAACACTGTGTGCATTACTAATGAAAATCATACGTTACGGACGTTTTTCCCCGGTTAGGGTACCCCTACGCATCGTCGCATAAAGAACTTTGTTCAAAAAAAAAATTGTGAATTTACTCACAATTTCTTTATTTTTACACAGAGCTTGCTATATTGTTTGAACTGATATGTTGCATGTTTATCAAAAACGTAAAATATTGAAACATCGAAATACCGTTACAGGTCTAGAAAAGATATATCCAGTGAACGCGATCAGCTTCCACTCGGTGTACAACACGTTCGCGACGGGCGGCTCGGACGGCTACGTGAACATCTGGGACGGCTTCAACAAGAAGCGGCTGTGCCAGTTCCACCGCTACAACACCGCCGTCTCCGCGCTCGCCTTCTCGCACGACGGCTCCGCGCTCGCCATCGCCTGCTCGCAGCTCGACGACTCGCAGATCGAAGCCTCCAAGCCCGAAGACACCATCTACATACGATACGTCACGGACCAGGAAACGAAGCCTAAATGAGACGCGATCGCGTGATGGAGGTTGTGGCGGCCGAGCAGTGTGACCACTCTACTTTTGAAATCCAAGGATCCCAGGGAAGAACGAGTCTTGCTACTTGAATAAAATGACAATTTTAAAGATTCCATTTCAGTTGTGAATATCGAAGGGTGACTACTTCCTGATTAAACATGATGTGATAAATGTATGTTGACGATCTGTGTGCCTAGTGCGAGTTTTTTAACGTTCTCGATAGCGTAAAAGTTAACTCGAATTTGTATGGATTTGGACCAGCGCCCCTAGCGGCAAACGTAGGCAAACATTATTGAGATCGCTAAAGAACTCGCACTAAGCACACTGATCCCAGAACAAAATGTTAACTAATATCGCTAATCACACAGTGACGATGCGTCTTACGTTATGCCTCTCGATTGTGAGGTTCAACCCGCGACAAACAACTCGATGCAGTTGGTCATGGAGGACACATTTACACTCTCACTTAATGGATTATGTTACCTGTATTCTTCGACCGACATGCCGGAGGCATGATATTTATGATTAATGAGCCACAACCGACCATTGTGATTAAAAATAATAATATTAGTAATTAACTATGTTTAAGTAATAAAGTTTACATTGTCTCTTATGTTTATTTTCCTAATAGGGTTGAACTTTATTTAATTTCTCGATATCAAATTATTTTGAGCCTTGAAGTCCGCTAACAAATACTTTTATGGACTTTTGACTCCAATTATTGACAAATAAATAAACGCTCATTTAAATACATAAATTGCAATAAATTATGATCTTACTTGTAATGTTATAATGAAGGTTTTTAATTCCCTCGACGGAAAGATTGGCTCCAGGCCCTTTCGTGGCATTCTTACTATCTGTAGGCAGACTAGTGTGTATACGGATCACCTGATGGTAAGTGGTCTCTCATGACCGTCAAGCAGGATATAGCGAAGTGACTTTTTTGCTGATGGGACACATTAAGGCACAGGGTCGAATTGTTAATTGTATAGAAACCGTCTCTCATTTTGCTAATATAGTGTAAATATTAATGCGTTAATTCAATTTCTAACTACTGTGCATTACGATGAAATAAATGGATCAGATAACCGCATTCAACAGTCTACTGTACGTGCGTAGTTGAGAATAAATAAGCCCTTCAAGTCTTAATTCATCATACTTTCGATTGCCGCAAATAGGTTCGACGCAGGTGGACGGAGATATAAGGGAAAGAAACAGCAGACTAAATAACTTTAACATTTTTGTAACGTTAATTGAAATTGTGATCAACCCTGTTTCATCGCGTTGTTTAAGATTCATTACATTTCATGACCCTCTTAATTTCGCATTTTAAGACCGCGGTTGACACACGTTAGACATACATATTTAGTACAATTCACGTACCTACTTAGTAACTTAAATAATTTAAGACTTTCTGTGAGAGAAACTTTTTTTATTTTATTAGGTGGAAATTGCGGTCCTACATGACTTCATTAACTATAGGCCTTTAGGTGCCTGTCATTCAACAATCCGCGCCCGAGCCTCCGAGGATGAGATACACCTCAACCGAAATAGGTGGATAGGTAGGTAGGTAGGTAAATTGATGCGTTTTGCATCTCTTACCACTACTATCCTCACGGGACGCAGAATACGTACTCGGCGACGTTATGACTACGGAACTATAACGCTTAAGGGGTCAAGATTTAGGCTAGATCCATGTCCTCGGCTCGACGGCGACGGGTTGATGCAGAAACAAAGGAGCGTTGGTCTCACAAAAGTCGATCATCGCTTGCAAAGACTTTTCTCGACTTTGCTATCGTTTGCTGATCCAGTGTAGGTAGGTACATTGCGAAGCAGCCGTGGTCAGCTAGAAGCTACATTAACCAGAACATCAATACATCCAGCTCAGGCCTTATGTGGTCGGATGACACGAAGATGGAGCGAATCGTGCGCAGCACACGGAGGTCGACTCACCACTGGTAATCAGGATCTAGATCAGGGTGCACGAACCATGAAGGTATAATGTTATTTTATTCTATTATTCCTTTTACCTACGCTTAATTTAAGTTGTAAAGTAGTAAGTTGCGGTCGTTTTACTAAGGTGGACCATGTTGTAAGCTGTACAGTTGGTATCACCGTCATCAATATTTTATTTACATCATGGAAGGTGTCGAGTGTATGGGCTCTGGGAATTAGTTAACGTCAAGGCACAATACTGTCGCCCGCCCAAATTTTTATAACGTTTTTCAGTGATGACACCATACAGCGCCTGGCAGCAGGCGCGAGTTGATGCAATTTCGTTTAAATAAACTTTGCCATGATTTTTAACGTCCGTGGAACGTGGAAGTCCATCGAAAGCATGTTCCGTTTTTTATTAATTTATCGTGTTTATACGGACAAACGCGACACTAGAGCCCTTGGACACCCAGCGAGGATGCCGATGCCCACTTTTGTTGCAAAGAGTGAACTACTAACTACTGTCTAGAGATAGCTATCCATTCGCTTAGGCTTGCAACTTCTATCATCGTTGCTGACGATAAGAATTGCGTGCGCTTACTTAATACTAGGTTTTGCCCGCAACTTTGTCCGTGTGGAATAGTTGCTTTGGGATAACGCTTAATTTTACCCGCTAATTCATTTACGTAAAAGGTGAAAATATTTTTGAATAATAGAGTATTCGGGGAGTTGACCATTTGAAGTACCAAAAGCAAGCTTTTTAGCCGACTTCAAAAGAGGAGGTTATCAATCCGACCACCATTTTATTATCTATGTATGTTCACCGATTTCTCGACAATGCTTAAACCGATTTAGATCATTCTTATTAAATGTAATGCTTAAATTTACCCGCTAATTCATTTACGTAAAAGGTGGAAATATTTTTGAATAATAGAGGATTCGGGCAGTAGACCATTTGAAGTAAACATTTATTACAAACATAAATTAGGTACAAAAAAAATAAAATCAAGAATAAGAAAAATAACGAGGCTTGGAAACGGTTACCGGCTCAGCAATGCCTAACAGTAACAAAACAATCGGTACTGCGGCGCTGATCTTCCGCCGGCACCTACGGAGTGACGCGCACAGCATCAGACCGACCAATTATTGTGCACTTGAGTATGAGTTCAGCAAATTGTTACTTTTCTTTTTAAAATTGGAACACGTTATACTTATTAAGGAAGCCAGATTTAAACAAATACAAGTACACAACAATGTACAATATAAAAAAAAACAAGAATTAAAAAAAAATATGACGAAAAGGACAACAAAATGACATTAATTAAATAAAAATAGCAGTTGCAATGCACAATTATAGTACGGAATAATTATATTGGATATTTTCGAATTTTACTTTTATATTCAAAAGATATACTTTTAAATTTGCTTTAAAGGACCTTAGCGTTCTCTGATGCCGGATAGGAGGAGGAATATTATTTCAACATTTAGAGGCCAAGTAGCGGAAGCTGCCTCTAAAATCAAGCTTTTTAACCGACTTCAAAAGAGGAGGTTATCAGGGGCCATCAGGTTATCAAAGGCTTTTTTAAGACTTTTAAAGGGGAACAATTCTGTAATACATTATTTTAGCGAAACTTTAACCATTACCATAGCTCTCAAAAAGGAAAAAATCCCGATTGTGAAACATTCTTTATAAGTGTTCCGCTTTATTGTTATAGGTTGTCTTAGCGTGATGCTATATATATAGCCTATAGCCTTCCTCTGCAATAAATGGGCTTGGTAACACAGAAAGAGAATTTTTCTAATCGGGCCAGCAGTTCCTGAGATTAGCACGTTCAACCAAACAAACTCTTCAGCTTAGAGTATTAGTATAGATCAGGCATCCACTTATATTGAAGATGAAAACCCTAGTCAAACAAATTGCCAGATCAAGATAGTATCAGTTTTTTCTGCGTGAAAAGAAATATATATGTATATGGTACATTAAGAAATAATGCAGAAAAATGTACGGAAGTTTTTTTAGGAAAATAGGTGAGGAGGTGAGGATAGTTACTTACTACTGCTGCTACAGATCAACGACAGTAGTAGTAGTAGTATCATAATCACTATTTCTGGCGCGAAGCAGTCCTACGTGTTTTTTTTTGTTCGTGCCCTGGGACTAACCTTCTACGAGGTCCCGCGTCTAAGGGGCGCGCGGGGTATGGAACTGCGGGGCCAAGGACGTTTTTAGGGCCCTACCGCACTAAATGACTCTTGACCGAAACGACTCCCATGCACTCTTACACTCGACGTCTTTATTTAAATTAATGTGAAAATAAAATGTTGTTAATTTACAGAAATATTTAATAACAGGTTTATTTACCTTTTCACCTTAGTGAGTTTACTGCTTTCAATAAAGCACTGAACTAAAAGCAAGCAGAACCATGTTCAGCTTCACGATTCTAAGTGGAAAGGAATTTGCACGCCTTATATATCCTACATCTCAAACACAAGTAATTAACACATGCGCGAATGTATGGGGCGCGCTCGCGCATTCACTATGCAATTAAATTTTAAGAGCATGTAACACCATTTCCATGCTTAAATTATTGCTTTAAACGCAACGTTATAAAGAATATTTTACTTAAATACAGTTGTAAATCTAAAATTGTGTTTAAGAAAGCCACGTCGGCCCAAATTGGCGGTTAAATAAAGCTAAGTTTCTGTTGTTTGAGACCACCTAAAGGTTTCTAAGAAGAGAGGGGCAAATATGGTTATGTTTGCAATCATAGTTTACCGGCATTCGTAATTATGTTCTAGTATTAGCCAGATGCCGGTGTTAATTGAGGAAGCTAAACGGAATTTCTATTTACCAAAATCACGGCTCACACTATATGCTAATCACTTTTGTACAAATGTAGCTACGACTGTGTTAGTCTAGGAAAGTGATGATAGAAGAAATGGACTAAATTTAAGTTGCTAGCGTTGGTAGGCGTTCTTTTTTAATTTATTAATTTGGCCAGTACAGTATATTTTATTGACTGTTAAATTAATATTTCGGTATTTAAAAGGTACGGGGTGCAAAAGGATTAATCGTGAAATCGTAATGTCGATTAAATAATATCCGAAAGTAAAAGTTAAGCCTTATCTAATTAGGGAGGTGATACTAAATCGTTTTCATTTTAGTCACTGCATATTCGTGAACCCGCTGGGTAAAGCCAAGGCTGTTAGCCAACGATGAGAGTAGATGTAGTGCGCTAGGTGATTGTTTTTCTCTTTTTCCCTACGTATTCGTTGGTAGCTGAAGAGGCTATTTCGGCTACGCCCGGATGGGTGGGTGAGCTCACCGGCCCAACCTGAGAGACTTTGCTAACACTAGTCATAGCAAGAGGAGTGCTTTGCAGAATCTACCATCGGATCAGAATTGCGACCCACTGAGAGGATCCGGCAAGAAACTCAATGGGTTTTTTTTCTTTTCCAATACAATTAATGCCTCAATGCAATACAGACCGGTGCAATACTGCTCTATGATCACAATTTTTTTGTATCGTGTCAAGAACTTCTAGCTCTACATATGTCTGTTTTTTGTATTTATAATATTTTTAAATTACAAAATTATTAATAAAATTATGAAAATGTAACTACATACTTGATCGAGTTTAAATGACACAATATTTGGCTTTATACGTATTAAATTTTTTT